ACTAATATAACTTCAGTCTACATCAGGATTGCCAGTCTTTTTCTTGCATTGACCCCATATAGACAACATTCTTTTCAATTGGATCCTCTTAAAATTTTTTGTTATTTCCCAAGAATTTGCCTAATATATCAAGTAAATTATTAAATCAGTTAATAATTTTTCCACATAATTGTTATTATTCTTCTTTGAAAATTATCTGAAATTCTCGAAAAATACAATAAATATCTAGTTTTTCCATCGACTCTCAATTGACCTCTGGAGTTGAATCGATCCCTTTCAAAATTTCATTGACCCTAGAGGGTCTATATCAACCCCGTTGGGAATCCTTGATGATATATTAATGACAACAAACGAGACAAACATTCCAGCAAATACCGACTTTAAGACACTCGTTAAATGATAAGAGTAATATGAAATTAAATGTGTTGTTTCGGGAAATCCTCTCGACGTCTCGCAAAAAGTGGAAGACGATGACGCATTTCAATCAAAAATAGATCAAAAAGATGTGTCTGAACAGTCGGCAAGATATTTCGAGTAAATACTTCGGAGAAGATGCTCAAAATATCTCAGTCTCAAATAGCCTAAAAGCGAATGGATAAAGACCAGACAATTAACAGTTATTTTCTCCATTCGAACTCGAATGAAAATTGTTATAACTCTTTATAGACTAACAAACGAACCTTTAAAGTCGAAAGAATTTAAAAATTTCAATTAAGAAATATTAACGGAATGGAATTTGTACTTCGTATCTTAATCTGGAAGATTTATGCTCCAAGGCAAATAACTTACTTTACTAGAGTGACGAGACAGTCTGCATCCCCCTTTTGACGTGAGTAGTCCGCGGTTTTATTCTATAACTAGAAATTTATGCGCTGAATATATAAAGTCGATTGCTTGATATGGATACTGACATACTAATAAATCTATTATTTACACCTATACGTCTATAACCTGAACGAATTATTTATTGTAAAGTTTATGATCGTCTTTTTAAATAAATAAAAGCTAAATTTAATAATATCGTAACGATTTTTAGCTGCTTAAATGTTTTATGTGTATTTTAACTCTGCATCCGAAATTACGCCGATCGATCCTTTAGGTTTGCCCACCGAAAAACCATCAAACACTGGTCGTGGGTTCGCGCCTGGCCAACAGTCAAGTTTCCGAGTTTTTTTCACATTTGTAACACCTAAATAGGGGTCAGTTTCCCGTAGAAAATCATCTCGGGAGGCACACCCTTCGGCAGATCGCCAATATGTCCTGTTGCGGTATATAAATAATCGAATCGATCCTAAGTTTAGAATAATTAAGACGACGGATATTTGGACATTGAGTTTACTTTAACACGTTACGACAATCATCTATTTTTATAAATGGAATTTAAGCACAAATTAAATTGATAAAATTTTTAAAATTTAAAATAAGTAACACATTTATCTGATTTTTGGAACAAACTAAGCTATTTCAACATAGAAACAAATGAGAAAAGATTGTTTTTTCTATTTATTTGCATCATCCATTCTTTAAAGTAGTGTCATTTTTTATTATAATTAACCTGTTAAAATTATTCAATCGTAATTATTTTAAATTTTAAAGAGTAAAATTGTGTACTCTAACTAAAGTAAGTCGGTGAAATAATAATAAACGATGATAATATTGATTTTATGGACATTATATAGGCCTAATTTACTTCTATATTTAAGTTTAACATATGTTTGTTTCTTTCATAAATTTGTTTAAAATATATTCTATTTATATAAACAAATTAATATGAAATACGAAGTAGTCATTTTTAGTATTTCATTAAAACATAGCATATTATTCCACTAATAATTTCCAATTTAAAAGAAATAAAATTCGGTAAACGACGAGTATTACATTTTTCTAAAAAAAGTTTTTAAAATATAAAAAGGCTAATCTAAGTGAAAAAAATAAATAAAAATAAAAAAGGTTTATGTTTTTCTTTTCTTCTTTTCTATAATTTTAAAGCTTTTCACATTAATAAAACGTAAACGCAGTGGCTCGTTATACTTCATGGGACCCAGGCGAATTTGAATTAAGGACCGCTTGTAAACTTACAGTGTTGACTTCAGACATTTTTCTTCGGAAAATTTTTTAGGGGAAATATTTTCTTATAAAAGACTAGATTGGGCAATCTGTTAGTAGGGCCCACAGGCATTTAATTGCCCATAGGATAATGAGCCACTAGATAAACAGTGGTTTTATTTTATTTAATTATACATCGCCAGTTAAACTTACACATTACAAAATATGGAAAATAATATAACGTTTTACAAAAGATATTGTATATTCCTCTCCTACTGCTCCTATTCCTAAAAAGTCCTGTTGTACTGTAATGTACAGTACTTATAACGTCAATTTGCTTTACTCTCGATGACCTCACAGTTTTTCCCTCAATTTTGTGAGACACTAAAATTCTAATAATAATGACTGTTAAAATGTCTAATCGTGTTTTCTACCTTTCTACTCTAATATGAACATAACAAATAGGAATATATTTGTAAAAATAAAAATATTTAATATTTGAATATCTGATTGTTCACATAAATAATAACTTTTAAAATGAATAATTTGTCGGATAATGGCGTAAACAACTTTTATATTTCGTTTCAATCAAACTTGGAAAGAACTTGTAAAACGAAGCGAAAGTTTTTATTATAATAAAGACTCGTTAAAGCTATTGATGTGAAAAATGCTAAAACAGAACCTTAGCAATTGTCTTTCGAATTGCGAATTGTCTGTGATCAACAGACAATTCATTAAATATTTAAAAGAAGTTTATTGACAGTGCGGTGTTGATAACCTGAAATAAAGTCGTTTCAACTACGTTATCAATTCGATAGAATATAAAAATTAAATTATATATTTATACTTTATTATAAAACGACTACTTTACATGCGAATTTTATTCGTTGTGCGGTCAAAACTCTTGAATTTAATTATAGTTATAGGCCTATTGAAGTTATTTATTCGTATAATTTCATACACAATCTCCCGTAGATAGACTATTAAAGCTAATAAATTCCCCTAAGTAACAGATAATAATAGGAAAAATTTAATAATCAATATTATTTTTTTGAATAATTATACTAAAATCAATCCATGCATTGATAACTCAGACTAATATTTTCTGTTTGCTGCATACACTTGACTCTGTATTTTAGTCTAACGTAGGGATGGTGCGTTAAGTATATAAGCTTATTTAAACTTATAGCATTATTATTAAGATAAAATAGGTGAGGTTATTCTTTCTCACGTTCATAATAGAATTTAATAAATAAGCTTATATTTGCTGTTTATTATTAAATAAATTTAAAGCTGCAAGAAATGATGCTCGACTCTTCCTGCTTTTATTTTTATAAATCAAAATATCTTCTAAACTAGAATAAAGTTTAAAGAAGTTCATCTTATCGACTGGTCTATTTTAGATTTTGGTGTTCTCTTACTCTAAACCGGTGGCGTTTTTTTTTTTTAAAGATTTTGCTACAATCTTTCAACTGGTACCTGTTAAATGAACAACCAGACAGTTTCTTTTGGTTCAAAACAACCCCAGTAAACAGTATCTAAAAATACTTGTCTGCGGCTTAGTGCAATTTCTATCGTACTAACCTTCAGACATAGATATTCTATCTTTATAAGAGAATGTTTGCAGTCAGGTACTCTAAAAACATTTCTCGGAACTCATTACAAGAAGGTCAGACAATGTAGACACAAGGTTACCCAAATTTAGTTTAATGTACGGTAAGAAAATGTCTGGAAAACCAAGAGTTCCAGCCAAACCCGGATAGATTTATCTGCAATTCTCGAATTAAATTTCATTTTTTCGTGTTTCTCAGCCGGGTCTTTTACGACGGTTAACCAAAAAAAAAAAAAAATGTCTACTTTAAACTTGCAGTAGTTGCAACGAATAAAAATTTCGGGGATATAACAAAATTGTAAGTTGTAACAGCTCAAGAAACCATGTTTTTGGTCGACCGGATAAATAATTCTGGCACTTTTTGAGTCATTTCTTTGGGAATTTATAAAGTTCGTCACTTCCGCACTGGAAGAACCTGAATTAAGTCGCCAAGCAGTCTTTCGGGGAAGACCGAAGACTGGAATAAATCCAAGTCTGCTAAGTGAGTGACATGGGATGGGAGCCAAGTTTCTCTTTCCACACTTCGGGAGAACCAGTCGCGTAGGAATTGATGTTCGCCTGACCTCTGATCCCGTCTGCTTAGGCTGCACGTGGAAAGTTTCGGCTTCTTCTGTCTGGCCGTCTGAAGTGTTTCTTCCCGCCGCTGCATTTTCCCCTCTCGTAGCCACTCCCTGTCTAACATTGCCAAGAAAATAGCTTTAACACGTGCGCCGCTTACTTGAAACATAAGTCGAGTCGAGGGCAAAATTTTTGACAAATATTTGCGAAAAATATAAATCTTATGTTTTTCTCTATGTATTAACATTGGCAAGAGTATATATTTTCTAAATAAAGCACATAGGGAAAAAATCCGCATTTTATATTTATCTTTTGATTATTTACAAAAGTTTATGCTCGAATATTTATTTATTCCATAAAATCGTGCAATTTATTTAAGACAATTCGAGGCTCAAGGCTCAATTATTAAAAGTTATAGATCTTATAGAGCAAATTAAATATTATAATTAAGATCTCAAGACAACATCTGAGTTTGAGATTTTAAATGTTTTTCATTAAATTACATTAATTGCCAACTTAATATTAAGGGGAGTAGCAAATACATAACTTACAAATACCATACATTAAATTTTGAATAAAACTTTAGAAATAAGGAAACTTTTTTCCTATTGGGTAATCCAGGATATTAACCTTTTCATTTGTTTGAACATTGGTTATTAGGACGTGAGACTATTGAATAAAATAGCAATTTTTTTAAAAAATCTTTCAGAGGAACTTTTGTAATGGCCGTTAAGAAATGAGAATTGGGATTAAAAAGTTTCTACATCCTACCTCCTTCGTTTCGCGACATTTGTTAAGTTGGAACCACCGTTAGCGAGACATGGTCGAACCAGACCAAAGAAGGTCGCAGGTGGCACTCCCAGTCGATCCATCTTCCTTAACCCTAAAGGCAACGTGGGTGGCACGAGGGGAGGGCCATCCCCTGACCTTGTCGCATTCGCCAGACACACCAACCTGAGGTCCTGTCTGTCGGTTGGGCGACACCATGCACACCAGTGGGTGGGGCAACTGACTGCCATATATAAAGGGGTGGCTGTCGCGATTACCGGGTTTTCACCATGCAGTTCATGTTCGTATACCTGGCTATCGTGGCGTGGTTGGGTGCCGACGGCAGAACTCTTCAGATATCACCCACACCTCTGCTGACGATAATCGATCCTTCGGCAGCGGCTACTTTGGAGGAAGAGACGACGGCCAACGCATCTACATCTCTTTCCAATACGAGTTTGGCAGATTTGCAAACCGATAATGTTACGCAACGGCTTCAACTCAGGTATCGAGAAAGGTAACGAAACAAATCAAAAATAATAATAATAATAATATGCAATTTGATTTAATTTACAGAAAAAATTCTCTTCTTCAAATCTGTTCTAAAATACAGAACATCGCGAAATATTTTATTTATTTGATTTTTAAATTCTATTTAATTTATGATTTCATTTTATTTTATAAATTCTATTTATTCGATTAGATTTCTTCTTTTATTTTTCTTAATTATTTAATGCTATTTAATTTCGTAAATTTAACAAATATTTTTACTAGTGTATTTTAAATCATATAAATTTACCATTGATTATTATTCAAATAAAGGTGGATCCAATTGAAGTATTAATTTTAGCGCGATTAAATTTATAAAATAATCATTTCAGAAGAGTTAAATGTCCTTCCCTATTAATTATTTTATCACGAAGAAAGAATATCTGACATTTAAATGAAATCTTGAATTTGCCTTCATGAGCTAATTTTCACTTTCTCACTTTCTATTATGCAAAATAATGGTAATAATTTTACCGAACACCAATTAAAGGTAATTTAACCGATCACCTGTTGAAGTTATTTTGTATTACTGTGCTGTACGTCACATAATATTATTTTCCAATTTAGTTTTATAGTTTTTATTATATTTTTTTCCAGTTTAATAGTGGAAAATTATCGAAAAATTTAATATAAAAGCTGTCATGTAAGAATTAGGTTGTCGCAAAAATATTATAAATGTTAAAATATTTTTATGGAAATTTATATTGGCGTACAAATTTTCTTATTTTATTTAAACTCTACATGTATATACATGTATATTAAATATATTTAACAGATTAAATTTGTAAAATTAATAGACACGAGTCAAAGAGAACGTAAGTTTACAGATTATTTTTTCTATATTAAAAAGATTACATGTTCGTTATTGATATTTCTAGATAAAGGAAAAATGTTTTAAAAAAAATTAGTGTGACGTTAGAACATTTTACGCTTTTTATTATGTTACATGACGAAATTATTACGTCGCAAAATGAAGCTTTCTACGAAAGGAGCATTCTTTTTTTTTTGTTTTTTTTGTTTTTTTTGTGCATCCTTCGAATTTGTTAGATTTTTTTTTCAAAACGTCAGGATTATTTACCGAATGAAATATTTCTTGCATAATTTCTCTTTTATTTCTTGCAGTTGTATTTTGGCGTTTTATGAACACTTCGCCGTTAGTCTTTAGCTTATTTTTTTCTGAACCAGCTACATCCCGACTGTTGCTTAACGCTTCTTTGGGTCTATCCAATCATAGGCACTATATACTGCTGTCCTTGAATTATGTTGAAGGTCGCCATGCTAAATTTAGGCCTCCTGTTCTCTCTTCTTTTTATAATATATATATTTTTATTTGTCTAAAAAAATAATTATGGAATCGCAATAAAAGAAAATGAAGCTTATCCTATTTCGCATTGATTATTTTTCTTCGAATTAAGTTGTGCATGCATGACTTTCGTTATTATTATTATTTTTTTAAATAAAAATATAGCTTTTATAATATCTAAAATTTTAAAAATCGATTTAAAATGTTCTCCGTGATAATTTATTTTTTAGATTTTATCAATTTTTTCTATCATTTTTGCTATTGTAGTAGCCTACGCTTTATATTTCGACTTAATATCGGGGTTATTCAAAGCCAGTTCTAAACTATTCTTATAAAAATTCAACGTTATAAATAATCACCGGTGGTGAAATTATAGCAGTTTCTACAGCTTGAATGTGTTTTCCGAGGAGATGATATCAAAATAGAAACGTGTCTACAGGCAACAGCTCTATTACTCGCCTATTATCGAGGGATATCCTAACTGTTAAAACGAAATAGCGTTGGGTTTGGCCGGAAGCTAGTGAAAATAATTGACTTATCAATTATCCATTGATATATAATTCTATCTTAAAATATTTTCTTAGGTATCCAACCATTTGTACATCGCCAATTAGCTTTAGAAATGTTAGGATTCGATAGATAAATATTCTTCTTGTAAATAGAACATTAAAATATTTACGAATACGTATACAAAATAGAAGAAAATCAGCGGATCGGAATCTAAAATAATTATTTTTTATGTCGGTTTATAAATGTTTGCAGAATTTTTCATAAAATTTAATTTATTCTAATTAATCACCTAACGACTTAATATATAAATGATTGGCCTACATTGTAATTAAACCGTCAACATCACTTTTATTACGTATCGTATTTTATTTTTCTCGATACTACACAACGACATCTTGGAAATAATGTATCGGTAAAACATTAATTATATTTATTTTTTTATTTTTTATTTTAATTCTTCTAATGTTACAGTAAAAATAATGAAATTCTTTGGAAGGTATTTTAAATATTTTTTTTAAAAATTTCATGTTTAATTAATCTCATCAAACTTCAATTTAGTATACAATAATATTGAGTTTTTTTATGTTTTATTTATCTTCAATTGTTCACTTCTCGCGTTACGAACTATGCCAGAATCGATCCATCCTAACAAAGTTCAAAGTGTAAAAGTCAAGTTAAAAACCACACAAAAAATCGAATTAAAAATACAGAACCAAACACGCATAAGTCTCGACACTTCGTTTTTGGATAGAGTCGCGATATCTAAGTCTTTTATGTACCGAAACGACGAAAAGAAAGTTAAGAAGTACCCATTTCAACTAATACAGAAGATTTATACAGAATTTAAATACAGTATTGGAAACCAGAAGTGTGTTGTGAGATTAGAACTGTCCCTTAAACTGTGTAAATATCATAATCATGTTGCAATAAAAAGAGAACAATTTTTAGCACAGTTTATTTTCAAGGAAAAAATTAACTGAATTCGGTTGGTTTTTTTTTTTTTGTGATTTGGATAGGAATATTTGCGATCACGATCTGTATTTCATAAAATGGTGCAATAGTGAGAATTAATAGGGTTGGAAAAACTGTGAGAACGTATCAAAGAAGTTCTATTAATTATAACTTATTAGTAAATAATTATTTAATTCGAAAACTCTTTATATTGTTCTTTATAGAAAATGCACTTTTATTTAAATTTTTTCTCATCCCATATTTAATTAGCCTATAAGTAATAATTTTCTTTGTAGATCATATTAATTTTTATTTGGTTTATAATAAGAAAAATCAATGCTTATAAAATTAGTTTTACTTTCTAAGTTATTTATCAACCTGTAAAACTAAAACTGAACTTCGTTTCCACTTCGAGCACCACAGACAAGATTTTGAGAAAAAATTTTATGTAGATCTAATTTGAATTAATCAGTGTAGGTGTCGAATTTAATACTATAATCTTCCGTTAGTCGGTCGACCAGTCAAAGTTACAATTTCTTACAAAGACTACGTTTTGCCTTTAATTGAGATTCCCATTCGTTAGTTCAAAGTTATTCAAATTTCTTTCAAAGTTATTTACCCAACTTTTAAAAAGTATATACTATAATACATGGCCAATAGAGTAGTCCCTCGGAAGTATAAACAAAAGTGGACAGGCTTTAACATGGTGTCATACGATACTCGGTTTCTCCTCAGCTTACCTAGAACTCCTCTCCCACTTTCGATCAATTATTCCGAAAAGTAACGAAAGAAACGTAAATGACGAGTGAGAGGAATTTCTTTTCCAAATATCGCCACTCGCTTAAAATTCCTAAAAAAAAAAATTCCACGAATGCTTTCTTTTAATTAATAAAATTGTTTTTAAAATATTGTCTTAAGCTAAGATCTCTTAAACTTTAGTTATTATGAAGTTTGAAGTCTACGTTTACGGACGGAAGACGAATCGCTCGTTCTTTGATTGAGTGATAATCAAAGAACGGGCCATTTCTCTTCCGTCCGTAACTCCTTAATTAATTCATGAAAATTCAGAGATTTTTGCTGAAATGTAAAGTACTGTCATCTATTTGCCTGTCTTTGATAAATGTTCAAGAGAATATCTTGAAAAATGTACCTATTTCGAAACGCATTTCTAAATTGGTCTTTAATAAATTTGAATTTTCTGTCTCTTTTAATTCCTAGAATTAGAAGGAACGGAAATAAAAATTGTTTTAATTTCTTATATTTAATAGACTAGAAATGAACATTAAAAATAAAAACCAGAAACTGAAAAAAATAAAATAAAATAAAATAGCATCACTTTCAGATTGACACTTCCTACGTCAATTTGCTTTACTCTCGATGACCTCACAGTTTTTCCCTCAATTTTGTGAGACACTAAAATTCTAATAATAATGACTGTTAAAATGTCTAATCGTGTTTTCTACCTTTCTACTCTAATATGAACATAACAAATAGGAATATATTTGTAAAAATAAAAATATTTAATATTTGAATATCTGATTGTTCACATAAATAATAACTTTTAAAATGAATAATTTGTCGGATAATGGCGTAAACAACTTTTATATTTCGTTTCAATCAAACTTGGAAAGAACTTGTAAAACGAAGCGAAAGTTTTTATTATAATAAAGACTCGTTAAAGCTATTGATGTGAAAAATGCTAAAACAGAACCTTAGCAATTGTCTTTCGAATTGCGAATTGTCTGTGATCAACAGACAATTCATTAAATATTTAAAAGAAGTTTATTGACAGTGCGGTGTTGATAACCTGAAATAAAGTCGTTTCAACTACGTTATCAATTCGATAGAATATAAAAATTAAATTATATATTTATACTTTATTATAAAACGACTACTTTACATGCGAATTTTATTCGTTGTGCGGTCAAAACTCTTGAATTTAATTATAGTTATAGGCCTATTGAAGTTATTTATTCGTATAATTTCATACACAATCTCCCGTAGATAGACTATTAAAGCTAATAAATTCCCCTAAGTAACAGATAATAATAGGAAAAATTTAATAATCAATATTATTTTTTTGAATAATTATACTAAAATCAATCCATGCATTGATAACTCAGACTAATATTTTCTGTTTGCTGCATACACTTGACTCTGTATTTTAGTCTAACGTAGGGATGGTGCGTTAAGTATATAAGCTTATTTAAACTTATAGCATTATTATTAAGATAAAATAGGTGAGGTTATTCTTTCTCACGTTCATAATAGAATTTAATAAATAAGCTTATATTTGCTGTTTATTATTAAATAAATTTAAAGCTGCAAGAAATGATGCTCGACTCTTCCTGCTTTTATTTTTATAAATCAAAATATCTTCTAAACTAGAATAAAGTTTAAAGAAGTTCATCTTATCGACTGGTCTATTTTAGATTTTGGTGTTCTCTTACTCTAAACCGGTGGCGTTTTTTTTTTTTAAAGATTTTGCTACAATCTTTCAACTGGTACCTGTTAAATGAACAACCAGACAGTTTCTTTTGGTTCAAAACAACCCCAGTAAACAGTATCTAAAAATACTTGTCTGCGGCTTAGTGCAATTTCTATCGTACTAACCTTCAGACATAGATATTCTATCTTTATAAGAGAATGTTTGCAGTCAGGTACTCTAAAAACATTTCTCGGAACTCATTACAAGAAGGTCAGACAATGTAGACACAAGGTTACCCAAATTTAGTTTAATGTACGGTAAGAAAATGTCTGGAAAACCAAGAGTTCCAGCCAAACCCGGATAGATTTATCTGCAATTCTCGAATTAAATTTCATTTTTTCGTGTTTNAGTTTTTCAGCGCTATTTTCATTTATTTTTGTTATTTGACGCTATTTAGACGAATAAGCAAGTTTTCCGAAGCATAAAATTGAAGATTTCCCGCCAAAATAGAAACTTCCTGATAACATCGGAAATGTCGTTCTAACATCATTTTATTTTATTTGATTCTTCAAAAAATCGTTATAATACTATGTATTAGACTTAGAATATTCGATATCTAAACCAGAAAGTGTTAGCTAGAAATAGACTTATTTATAGAACGACCCCCCATTTCTGACTTCAGGGAAAGTTATAAAACAGTTGGGTGCTAATGACTTTGTGAAAGGGAAAAGTTCTACACTTAGAAACTTCGAAAGAAGGGATTTGGCCTGTACCGTCCGCGGGCCGCATAAACATTGATAAGGGGCCGTATGTGGCCCACGGGCCGCAGGTTGTGCACCCCTGTCTTAATTATGAAAATATACTAGCATGTTTTTTAATTTTTGGAACCTAACCCTCCTTTTCGTATTAGTTCTTTGTTTCGTATAACATGGATTCGCATAACATGGCAATTTTTTGGAACGTAACTACTGTGTTATACGGGGGTTACCTGTACTTATCCTATAAATAGAGATTGAAGCTTTCTTGAGGATGAAACTAAAAGTAAAGTATTTAGTTTCCTCCTCTTTCTACAAAATGAAATAGCTCAAAAATTTGTATTTTATCTATCAATTTTGAATAGATAAAGAATAAATTTTTATTTTGTATTTGTTATATTAAGTATTATTTTAATTTATTGATAAATTATTTTATGTTAAAGATAATTTTTCTTAGAAATAAATATTTTAATTTTGAAAATTAATCACATGGTACATAATACTTATATCTAATGTACAGGAATGTCCTTTACAGACATCAATCAGTGAATCTCCCAACAAACTTTCTCAAGTAACAGAAAGATCACGTACTTCTCCTCTTCCTTCTACTACAGATCCACAGCCAGGTTTGGAGAATTATAATCACAAAAATTTATAACCATTAAGCGCACACATGAAAGAAAAATTCACGATCAATTATATAAAAAAAAAAGTTTTTAATGAATTATTGAATGTATTTAACAGATCTTACTTCGCCACATTTGGAAACTGGAACAGATAAATCTAATCAAATGGCGTTAAGAATACCGGGTATAACTTTATCCTCTGATCAAAATCGGGACAAGAGTCACACAACAATAGGTGTTCATATGGATGATGACCATTATAATTATGAAAGTAGACCTAACAGACTTGGTTTGGAGGATTTCACGTTCATAAAAGTGCTTGGAAAAGGAAGTTTTGGAAAGGTATTAAATTATGATTTTGATTTAAATAGTTAAATACTTATTTAATTTATACATTAATACAAAATAATGCATTTATATATGAATTATATATATTAATGGCTATTTAAAGCAGATAGGTTTAAAAATCATTTCTTATAATGAAATGAATGTTATAGGTAATGCTTGCAGAGAAGAAAGGCACTGAAGATGTTTATGCTGTGAAAGTTTTAAAGAAGGATGTAATTCTTCAAGATGATGATGTTGATTGTACAATGACGGAGAAACGTATATTAACCCTTTCGGCTAAACATCCTTTCTTGACTGCCATCCATTGTTGTTTTCAAACTGAGGTATTATACATTTTGAAATTTATTTCATTTGGTAGAATTTTTAAGTACATTTTTACAGTTACAGTAAGTATTTTTAAGTATTATGTGTCATTCCTAGGATCGATTATTTTTTGTTATGGAATATGTTAATGGAGGAGATCTCATGTTTCAAATTCAAAAGGCTCGTAAATTTGATGAACCAAGAGCACGTTTCTATGCAGCAGAAGTCACGTTAGCATTGATGTTTCTACATCGAAATGGTGTAATATATAGGTACTTTCCTTTATTCATTACTAATATTAATAAATAAATAAATATAAATATATATATGTTTGTGTATCTGCTCTATATTACATTTGTTAAATTATATATTTTTTTTTCAGAGATCTGAAGTTAGATAATATTTTATTGGATAGTGAAGGCCATTGTAAGATTGCTGATTTTGGAATGTGTAAAGAAAATATTATTAATGGTGCAACAACAACAACATTTTGTGGTACTCCAGACTATATAGCCCCTGAGGTATAAAAATTGTCAAAATAATTGATTTATATTTCTTATGAGTTTTAATTATAGAAATTATAGATACTATAAGATAAAAATGTAAGATTATAAGTGATTATATTGTTTAGTTTGAAATATTATGATATAATCACAATTTTAAATTGATTTGTATATTTTTATTTTTATATCTGTGTATTCTTTTATGAAAATATCAAGGAACTCTGACCTCTAACTTTATGGATTTTTTTATTAACTTTTATATTGTTACTCTTTTGGAAACTTGGATAATGTATTCTACAAAACTTTCTTTTCCTTGTTAAATTCATTGATAAACTCTACAAAGTTTAGCACATCAGCCAGATGGACAAAAAAGACTTATTGGTGGAGTTTTATTGATCATTTTTCAGACATTTGGTTAGATTGAGATACTTACTATATTTGATAATTTTATCATAATTAAAATTATGACAAGAAATTTTTGAAGGATGTCTTAGTTTAACATTAATTCTTACATATTCTAATTTTGATAGTTTGATAGTGGATCTCAAAAGACATATTTGCCAATTATGTCAATGATGATTTTCTAACATTTAAAGATGCTAATGCTAGAATTGCTAGTGAACTGGATTTATTATATACAAGTTCTAACATGAAATCTTTTAATTTTCAATCTTCTAATGATTTACTTCTCATGTATTTTTTCCTCTCTAAAATTAAGTTTAATGAAATCTTTTAGTTTGTTTATTCTCGATGAACACTTTATAAAAGATTTTCCCATCAACTTTACATTTATGTCTTTTGCAGATACTTCAGTTATTGATTTAATTGTATCAAATTTTAAAATTATTTAAATTTCCCATTAAATTAAAGTTTTATGTAAGTTCAGTTCTGATCCCATTTCTGTCCAAAAATATTGTTTACTAAGGTTCTAAATTAGGGGATGTCTAACTCCTGATTTAGAATCTTAGTAAACAACCTTTTTGTTTCTCTGGGCCACATTGGAAGAAGTCATGGAGTTTTGGGCCACAAATGTATTACCATAGCTTAAGAACAAAAAAAAACGTAAAATATATAGTTTCCATATTTAAGTATTTTAAAATTTATTAGTTTTTTTCATTATAAATACAGAACATGGAATTCATTTCACATTGTTTTATACATTTTATGTATAAGTCAAAATCATAAAACTAATGTGATATTTGACATTGTTGTTGAGAAACTAATGCATCAATATCTGTTTTGATTGAAGTGGTTGCAATTCTCAGGCACCCTCAAGATGTTCATTTGATATTTTAGTTCTAATTTTACATTTACTATGCTTCATTCTTGAAAATAGTTGTTCACATATGTAGGTGCTTCCAAACAATGATGACATGAATAACACATGACTGTGCAGTGTGGGATATATGTCTCTGGGTAGGTATGATTTATAAAAGTCAAAGAGACGTGATCAAATTTCTTTTTAAGTTGGATGTCAGATTGCAACTCTAAGCATTCCATTTGAAAAGTTGCTGGCAGCATTACTATATCGGTAAATGGAGTTGCAAAAATACAAAAATTGAGATTATTTTTCCAAAAATCCTTAAATCTATTTTTGAATTCTTATATCAAATGGAAAAGTAAGGCTACAGATTTTTTCCCATTTTTAGGAATATGTTTGGACATTGTGTTAAAATGCAAAAAGTTATTTGCGTTTAATTGCAATAATTTCAGTTTTACCTGTAATACGTTTATGGTTTGAAACATTGCACTGATAAGTTGGTTTTTCCCTTGAAGACATGTGTTTAAGTCATTTAAATGAGCAGTCAAATCTACCAAAAATGATTGGTGTGTTTTGAGTGCGAGTGCCTTTCGAGGATATTGATAAAGCTGAAGACAACTTCGAACAGATGTCTGTGCTTAGTAGTGACCGCGGCCGGAAAGAGAAGACAAAGTTAGGACCACGCGGTTGCTGCAGATGGTCTCGAAAACAGGTACTTGTCGCCTAATGCCATTGCCAAAGTGCTCTGGGAAGCTGCTAGGTTTTTCTGCAGTGAATCTTTTTCGTCTAGCAGCTGATTATATGCCCTGTGCAGGTCGTCAAAAATTGCGGACGCCTTGTCGACGTAGGTGCGCACTTGCTCTAATTTTTCTGCTTTCTTTGATAGCAGACAGGGCAGCCTTTAGCTTTCTGTGAAACGATCAACTAGCTGTTTCGGAGTATGGTCCTGATGTTAGTTCTTCTCTGTCTGCAGACGTGTTTTTTCTGACGAAATTGTTAACGTTTTTAATTAAAATACTTTACGCGTTACATAATTATATTAATTATAATTTGTAAAATAAAAATCGTAAGGGTGAGATATCTTCGTTAAAGTGTCCATTATCAGACTAATAATTTTTGAATGGTATGGAAAATACTCTGTGGAAAGTGTAGGAAAGGGAAACGCGATGCCGCGTGACATAATTTTCATTTAGTTATCCCTAGGCGCGCAGTAATTATGGCGTAAAGTGCAGCTGCCGCGGTCGGAATCCGGGAGATTCACGCACCAGGAAATTGCAATTTGTCTTCCCCTCTTTGAAGAAACTGCGCATCGCGCATTTGGGATCGATTTCTGACCCCCGAGGGACGTTTATCGTTCATCCCTGGTGACGGAACAGCGTCGTTTCCGGACGATAACGTTCTACTCGAAAGAACGGAGGCATTAATAAATCCGGCATATGTTACTTTTTACGCGAATTTAAAATCCGAAACATTAGCCGTTCGTTCGTTTGTCTGGCTGGTTGGCTGCGAAAATCATTCCGTAACTCAAAAAATGGATCGCTCCCGCCGACATTCACGTGACGATGACAATCGACCCGTATACAACAAAAAAAAATAAAAAATATCGTCGCCGTGTTTCTGTATTCACGAATGTGTCTATTTGCAAAGCGTATGTATGAAATTATGTCATTTATAATTTAAAAATGGTCGACGTTCTATATGAAAACACGTAATTTGGTGACAACTTTGGTGACATATTCATATATCAGCGCCATCTGCTAATCATTTTTTACACTAAATTAAACACTTGAATTATCAGAGATATAGAATGTCTTGACACTCGATATTAGTGTGTTGGAAGAATGATTTTGATTTTGTATTTTACCTTTAATAAATGATTTTATTTTTAATTTTATTATTCAGAAATTATTGATTATAATATTTATTAGATCGCAAAATTTTTAGAAAATTCTTCACGATCTAGTATCTAAAAATAAAGCTAAACCGACCGATTTGATGTGTGACCTCATCATATTTTATCCGAACCTCATATCTCCTCCGGGAATGTAAACCTTTTATCTTCTAACAAGCGGTGTAGGATAAGGACAAATAAAGTGATTTTATCGACTGTCAGACTCGATTTCACTGTCGGGAAAATTTAATTAGGGGAGATCGGGGCAACTTCGGCATGCGGGGCAAGTTTGTCAAGCGCTTTTTTTTAAAAACAAATTAAAAGGAGACTTTGGTTATAGGTTAGGCAGTTGAGTTTTATTGGTGGCTTGTTGAGTGTAGTGTTTTTATTGTTCTCCAANAAGAAATAAATTGAATTTCTATCGTACATGTAAAACAGTTAATGTGTTGTGTTCTACTCTATTATATTATATATAGAGTATAACATTACATTTATTTATTTTCCTTCAGTTATAACTAATATGCCCGGAAAATTCATTCGAAAAGATTGTAAACTATGAGATTTTATTGAGTTAAATCATAAATATATCTGTAATTTGAGACTTTCCTTTTATTTTTTGCAAATAAGTTCCTTTCTCTTCTCTATTATTTTATATGAATAAATTGAAGGTTGTCTTAAAATTGCCTTTTAATAGAGAATCTACGTAATAGTCGATACTCCTTATCTTCCGCTTCTTCGTTATTTGTCCGAATGAAATAACTAATTACTGTTAGTATAAAGATATAACATAACTTACCATAAATATCTGCTGTTAAATAAATAATATACAGTATGAAATGCTTCTTAATAGGATAACTACGTTAAATTTTCAATTGGCTATTAATATGCCTCAAAATCAAACTTATCTTAACGACCATAAATGACTTTAAGGTGACTGTTTTATCATTTCAATTTTATTGACTCCAATATGCATTTCGGACGTATACATTCATCCCTCTTCAGTTGGATATAATATTCTATCTACATGAACATATTAACATAAAAACAAGCATTATCTTAACACCTACAACAACCATTGTATATTGGAGTCAATAAACTTGAAATGATAAAACAGTCACCTTAAAGTCATTTGTGGTCGTTACGATAAGTTTGGTTTTGAGGCATATTAATAACCAATTGAAAATTTAAATAATATATATATTGGCCTATATATTTGCATAAAATATGCCAGATTAAAGAATAATTTAGAAAAGATGAAGAAGTTAATATTATCTTTACTCCAAAATTGGAAAAAATGGCGTCTACACCTCGCAGATCATCTTGTATGCTAGAATTCCATTTTATATGATTTCAGCCCAAAAAATAAAGAAAAATCGAGATTTTCTGAAGAATTAAAAACATTTGAGTTTATAAAGTGGATAATCTTTTATTTTTAAAAGATATTTGCATTGTATTTCATTATATCAGGAAAACATTTTCTAAAATGGTAATTATTGAGAAATTCCCTATAATCAGATGAAATTTTTACTAGATGATTTATATCAAATGAATTAATATTTTCACTATATAATAACTAACCAATTGTAGCTTAACTATAGTGGGAAATTGTTAGTTTCTCTTTTTAAAAATTATTAAACAATTACTTTTGTAACAATATTGCAAATTAAGTAAACGAGGCGTGACAATTGATAAAATCAAATCGCAAAATTTGTCTATTGTTTTACTTTCTGCTGTTGTATTTTCTTCGATGTTCGACGCTTTATGTCTACTTCCTCATTGTTTCAAATGCTATTCCTGTCTTATCGCTTCATTTGATCTTCCATTCTTTCTGTTTACTTATAGTCATCATCAATCTAACTCTATCTGTACCTTTACAATTTCTCAATTTAAGTTTAAAAAAAGAAAAAAAAATGGGAAAACGTACAAGTACTGTACAGAGTTAGATTGCTGAAGACTATAAGTAAACCGAAAGCTTTTTTTAGTTTTCAAGATTTTCTAAGTAACTTTATAATTGTGCGTTTAGTTAATATCATTTTATTCTAGAACTATATTCAATCAAACAAACTTGCGTCAAAAAAATTATTTACAGCGCTTCGTTGTTTACGAATTCTGGTTTGACTCTTTGTTAAAGTCGCATAAAGACTTTGTGAATAGGGTGACTCTATGAAGAATGAATAAACAGGTGTCTGGACCTGCAGACAAGATAAATATAGACAGCCCTCCCTGCCAGTCGATGCTATTTTTTCATTCGTTTTACTTCCTGTCTATGTTATCCCTTGACGTGTGTTGTGAATCAATGTGCATCAAAGGCAAATCAATATATTAATACATCAATCTTACTAATACTTATAAAAATTCATTTTCTTTTAGTAAACGATTTTCTTAATTAGCATAAAATTTGGAAAAAATTTATATTATTAAAATCCAGTTGGCAATTATACAAAATTTAAGAGTGTCATTTCTTATACATAATTTACAGCTCTTTTATTCGTGTCGCTATCTTTGAATTTCGGTTTATTTTATTTATTTATTTTTTAAGTTTTATTCCTGTTATAAGTTTAAAAAAAGTTATTTTATCCTTATTTATGACTGTCTGTAACTTCTTTGTGTTTCTAATTAAATAGTAAATTTCTTCAACAGAATTCTACTTAAATAAATTTTAAAACAATTGTTTCTTCAATATGGCATTTTCATCACCTAATTGATAATTTCTCATATGTTTTTTAAATAGATTTTGTAGTTTATTCGATTTTACAGTAGATTCGATTAAATTTGTATTTTCTAAATCTCTTAATAGGAAAAAACAAGAAAGACTTTTTCTTATTCAAGCACAGATTCTTCAGAGACTGGGAATTTCCAGGCAACCAAACATAACATCTCCATACATCTCGGATGACGAAAGGAGCAGAATGACGCAATTATTCGAAAAAATGCATCAGATAAGATCCCATATCAACGACATCGATCGACCTTTTCGTCTGTATGCAGAAAGGATGCAAAGTTTTTATCCTTCTTGTGAGTATAAAAATCCTTTCTTCCATTTTAAATTCAAAATTCATTATAATTTCTTTCTTAACCTTTCGATTTTGCAGGTACTTTGCCAAACAATACCGATCGAAACACGTGGGACAATCAGAACTCCTTTCGCATTTTCTACGACGTGTCTGTTCCTCGAGCTCTCATTAACAACGAAGTCAACATCATGTTAGCAAAGTTACGACTTTATAAAATTAACAATTTAGAAGTAAATCCGGAATGCGCCAACTGGGAACAAAACGTTTCCGCTTTACCTCGATACAATATGCTGGACGTGCTGATGCACAGCAGCACAACGTGCGGTTTAAGCGTATCCATTTACCAGTACACCAAACCGGTCAGGGCTAACAGAAGAGGTAAATTAACATGCAATCAGAATTAATTCGTTAATTTAGTGTAAGGCATTGGTAGAAACTAGAATAATACTTTTAAAAATTTCAGTAAAGAAGCGCTTCATCGATTCTCACACTGTTCCAGCTGATTATCGAGGTTGGGTGGAGTTTAACGTGATAACGTCGCTCAGTCAATGGTTAGATAATCCACAAAGAAATTACGGTTTTGACGTCGAAGTAGAAGATGCCTTCGGTAACAGATTAATTCCAAGTCATTACTTCAGAAACGTTAATTGCTCCGATGACTATGGTAAGTATACATGAACTACTGTATAACGATTCGTGTGTATAACATGCGGATCTACATTTACTCGTTGTATTTTTTAGTGATTCGAGATCCTCCCTTTCCTAATATCATGGATATTCATCCGGAAATGGCCGAAAACGATTCCTCTTTGTTCGATAACGAAACTTATCCCACTTTAGACCTGCAAACAGCAGAACTGACCAGAGAAGAACCCGAACCTCAAACCGTAGAAAACAACGATAGAATATTAAAGAAGAGAAGCGTTAATCATCGTACATTGGGGTGTCGTCGAGTGACGCGTTACGTATCCTTTCAAGGTAACAAATGTCCAAATAATTTTTAAAAATTTTTGAAATTTTTATTTTCAACTCTCGAATATTTTTCTAATTAGATTTAGGACTTAATGAAATTATAATAAATCCCGAAGGTTTTAATTTTTCTTACTGTTTGGGAAATTGTATATCAAAACATCAAGAATCTTACAACAGTTATTATCTTCCAAAGGTAATTAAAATACCCGCTTTTAGTAAATATTTTATTATCGTATTAACTAAAAATAAATATTAATTTAAATATTAATGCATAGAATGCGAAACTTTTCAAAATTTTAAAATATCGCACCGTAAAAATATATTTAAAACTTTAAATTCGTTATCATCGCAAGAATAATTCAGCAATAAATAATCTTATATTGATACGCGCTCATGCTTATTGCACTTTTATTTTACGTGGTATTTGCTTCGAAATTTAAAATATATAATTATAATAAATTATTATTCATTGACCAGAATTATTTTGTTATTCACGTTTTATAAAGTACAGGAATTGTTTACTACCAATATTTCTATAAAATACGTGTTTATTAACTTGTGAATAATAGCTTAATTTAACCTTATTAGCATGACAATATTAGCTTAACGTGTGCTTTATAAAGCATAAGTTAAGCTAATACTCACAAGGTTATGAACATGTGCTTTTTAAAGAACACGTTTATGTTCACATGCTAACAACGTAAATATACGAACATGTGGTCATTAAAGAGTATTGTTAAACGTTCAAAGTTAACTCAGAATAGATTTTAACACTTACAAAAAATTAAAAATAAGTTGTAAAATATGTGTTTAATAATAATAAATTATCTTTTTTTGACAGAATCGCTGCGTACCAGTCACTTACGAGCCTTTCGCCGTAACTGTAATAAATTCCAAAGGAGAAGCGAAAAATTCCACAGTAGACAATTTTCTAGTATCCGAATGTGGATGTAGAATCACATAAAATCGGCGGATGCAAGAAAAATTGTGTAAATATTAAGTAGATGTAAAGCATAATTACGGAAATTATCGTGGAAAGACATTTCATTTTCAATATTAATCTCACCCAAGTTATCCATATAAGTTACATAAAACCATTCAAACATTCGACCATTCACAAATTTGTACACAACACGAAGCTTTGTACTGTATACCACAGTACGAAATTCATAGATTGTTTAAGATAAACAATATTATTAATTCTTCTGTGAATGTTTACAGTGGGAATTCATAACTGTACAAAACACTTTTATAATACATATAAATTATATTAAGTGTAAAACATCGATCGCATACGATTTCTAATTACATGTATACTATAAAATTATCGAATGATTATTAAGAAAAAATCATATGTATAATTTATAAAGAAAATCACTCGATTTTATAAATTTTCGGAAAAGGTAAAACGCCTTTCGTTTATCGTTAATTTAGTTATTCAGTGCAATTTCTTTTATTGTTAATATCTAAAATGTTCATTCGAATTATTATCCAAAATTAACAATAATTTATCTGTTCGTAGATTTCTGTTTGAAATAAAATATATTCAAAAAGAGTGTAAAAGTGTCGCTTCCATAAATTCTCTTTACTTCTCCATATTAATAAAAGCGTTTCGGCGGCGCGAATATCAAGACAGAGATGCTAATTTGAAAGAGGAGAAACACAAAAAAAAAGAACAAAAAATAGGATTTGTTGTCTGGACTAAAGTTAAAAATAAATGTTTTTCTCTCGAACTCAATAACCTGACTGATGGCTGCCAAAAACTAAGACGGCCACATCCCATACTTTGCCAAGTAATTACGCAATTAAACTTTCACAGAAATTGAATCGTAAAATGGAAGAGGGAAGAGTTTCCCGATTTTCATTTCCTTCTTCTGATAAAACTCTGCCTTACTTTAAATTTACAGTCACCAGAGTTACGTTACTTAATAAATTTACAAACGATATACATTTAACTAGGCTAATTATTTTATTAAACTATATTTTTCCTTACGTTTTAAAATTTAAACGTAATTAAAAATCAATTTTAACTACTACTTTACGCGTTACATAATTATATTAATTATAATTTGTAAAATAAAAATCGTAAGGGTGAGATATCTTCGTTAAAGTGTCCATTATCAGACTAATAATTTTTGAATGGTATGGAAAATACTCTGTGGAAAGTGTAGGAAAGGGAAACGCGATGCCGCGTGACATAATTTTCATTTAGTTATCCCTAGGCGCGCAGTAATTATGGCGTAAAGTGCAGCTGCCGCGGTCGGAATCCGGGAGATTCACGCACCAGGAAATTGCAATTTGTCTTCCCCTCTTTGAAGAAACTGCGCATCGCGCATTTGGGATCGATTTCTGACCCCCGAGGGACGTTTATCGTTCATCCCTGGTGACGGAACAGCGTCGTTTCCGGACGATAACGTTCTACTCGAAAGAACGGAGGCATTAATAAATCCGGCATATGTTACTTTTTACGCGAATTTAAAATCCGAAACATTAGCCGTTCGTTCGTTTGTCTGGCTGGTTGGCTGCGAAAATCATTCCGTAACTCAAAAAATGGATCGCTCCCGCCGACATTCACGTGACGATGACAATCGACCCGTATACAACAAAAAAAAATAAAAAATATCGTCGCCGTGTTTCTGTATTCACGAATGTGTCTATTTGCAAAGCGTATGTATGAAATTATGTCATTTATAATTTAAAAATGGTCGACGTTCTATATGAAAACACGTAATTTGGTGACAACTTTGGTGACATATTCATATATCAGCGCCATCTGCTAATCATTTTTTACACTAAATTAAACACTTGAATTATCAGAGATATAGAATGTCTTGACACTCGATATTAGTGTGTTGGAAGAATGATTTTGATTTTGTATTTTACCTTTAATAAATGATTTTATTTTTAATTTTATTATTCAGAAATTATTGATTATAATATTTATTAGATCGCAAAATTTTTAGAAAATTCTTCACGATCTAGTATCTAAAAATAAAGCTAAACCGACCGATTTGATGTGTGACCTCATCATATTTTATCCGAACCTCATATCTCCTCCGGGAATGTAAACCTTTTATCTTCTAACAAGCGGTGTAGGATAAGGACAAATAAAGTGATTTTATCGACTGTCAGACTCGATTTCACTGTCGGGAAAATTTAATTAGGGGAGATCGGGGCAACTTCGGCATGCGGGGCAAGTTTGTCAAGCGCTTTTTTTTAAAAACAAATTAAAAGGAGACTTTGGTTATAGGTTAGGCAGTTGAGTTTTATTGGTGGCTTGTTGAGTGTAGTGTTTTTATTGTTCTCCAACAAGCGTAGTTGAATTATCAAGCAAATTTTCATTTTCGTTCAATTCCATATAATATTTTTTTTCCATTTATATTGAATTGGCAGGTTTTGTTATAATTCCATGATAACGAAAGTTACTTTTCCTGTTAGAAGGATGTAACTTCAACTTATTCACGTGGCCAGATCGTGGCTTGGCATTCTGTTCTCAGGGTTGTACTTAATGTTTCGAAATCATGACTAGCGGGGTAAGATCGGCAACATAAAGCCACATTAGAAGCAAAGGATAAAAATCAAACAGATGATAAATGAAAACATGTTTGCATTTGTTATTCATGTATATATGTCTTTGAACTTGCATTTCGTTGTAATAATATTAAATGGGTGTTGGATTTGTATTTCTTTGTTTTAATAGTGAATTCCAACTTATACATTGTTAATAACATAATTTTATATACGTGCCTATCTTGCCCCATTACTGTTGCCCCTATACCAGGGGCAACTTTAATAAAAATAATTAAAATAATTACAACTTTACAAAAAGAGAGAAGTTGCCGATCTTGCCCCTATACCCGGGGCAACTTCGTCAATTTCTCTCTTCTTGTAAAGTTGTAATTATTTTAATTATTTTTATTTCCAAACTGATTTTAACCAGTTCTATAGTAAGGTAACATTCCAATAGACAATATGCAAAGCTTTTTTTTCAGTTTACAGCAGTATTTATTACACAAAATTTAAGTAAAGCTTAACATGCCGATCTTGCCCCGATCTCCCCTATACCTTTTTCCTTCCGACCTCGCAATAATTAATTGATTACATTTTATAATTTCTAGGACAAATATTTATCTAATAAATGTTTTTGATCATTAATTACGTACTGTACAGTACGTTAACATACAAAAAAAAACCTGTTCTAAATGAAACCTGCCAAACTGGAAGAATATTCGGTACCGTATGAGTCCGGTTTACACAGGTATTATGAACACAGTAAATTATTCTTAAAATTTATTATGTACTAGAAAGGTAAACACTGTATTAATACGTAAGCGTATATATCATATACAAAATAATTACCTCCTACCTACGACTTATACGCAATTTGGTCTGTCAATCGAAAAGTTTAGGCACTACTTGTTTAAAATGACCAACATAATCAAAATGAGAGTAATGTAAATCTACAACCAATTTTCTATTATATTTTAACATGATTAAAAGAAAAAATGTCGCGATAGATAGATTAACTCTACTTAAATGTTCAATGATTAACGTACAGATTGATTTTACTAATTAATGAAATTATTAAAAAATTCAATTTATATTATCCCTATCAAATGTATAGTACAGTACTGTACAGTACATTAAACATTAAGTATATTATGCTTATTTAATTTAATTGCTTCTGAATTTTTATTTTTTTAAATGAAATGTAAACAAAAACATTTTAAATAATATCTTCAGAATTTTCAATCCTTTTAATTCGTAAATATTCAAATTTTATAAGAAAATATTACTTCTTAGACTAACAACATTCTTAGCTTAATTTTTCTTCAAGAGATTTTATATAGTATGAGGAAAGTCCGGGCTATTCTTCTAGAGCGGTGGATTTAACTACAAATTAATTCTAAATTTTTGCGAAAATGGTGGGCCAAAAGAACATTTGCTAACGTCATAAAACTTACATTACTCTAAAATAATTAAATGACTATGTAATACCATATAAATCGTCGTAGATCGTTAAAATTATTTTTATCACTCTAAACTACTTTAAATAGTCCAGAGATATTTTCATGAAATGATTTATTCATTAATAGGCTCATTGTAAGCTGATTATAATTCATAATGTAATGTGAATTGTTGAAAAAAATCTATTCAAGAGTGCTTTATTAATTAATCACACGATTAAGCCTATATTTTTTAGCGTAACGACTCTACCATAGAGTAGTTGTTATGTTTAATATTATCTTTTCTTATAGGATAATTTATTTGTCCTGTTTAAATTTTTTTCGTTTCAATATACTCTCTCTAATTCTCTTCAGTTCTTTAACTATCGTTCGAAGTCATTGTTCATGCCTTTACATCTCTATTACGAGGGGTTATAAAACGGGCATCATTGTTCTTTTTCCTTTAAGTGAACCATACACATTAATTTATGCTTTAGATAATAGCCTATCTGTTGCAGAAATTTTGTCTGGCATTTATCCAATCTGATTTCTTTGTGTCGACTTCTTATAATAATAATAATAATAATAATAATAATAAACAAATGGAAATTATAATGGCATTATTAAACTTTTAACGATCGAAAAAAAAACGAAATGCAAATTTCATCATTAAAATGTGGGAAAATTGTGTTAAATTCAAATCGAAATTTGATTGGTTTTATTTTATATTGTGAAATATTTAATAACTGAATATAATTTGTGATCAAAATGATGAAATTCTTTTTATTTTCTTAGTGTTTTAAATAGAAGACGTAAAAATGTAAATGAATATTAAACATTTCGATGACAAAATTGAAATTCATTTTTTATTAATTTGTAAAAATATTTCACGAAAAAGAAAGTCATAATTGGTTCGATTAGCATTTATAAATAAAATAAAGTTTAAGCAATCGGCAATTGTGAAAAATCGCATTATCATCTTCCTGACGTAAGCCCTATTAATTTACAAAGAAAAACAATAGAATTCCATTAAGAAAAAGTATTTCTTTTGTTCAAATGGATGTTTATTGAGACATTTTTATTCTGTGAAATCAACCGACACGTCTCCATTCTCTGGACTGAAGACAATGCATAAAAATATAAAATTTTGACGTAAGTATCTAATTACGCACAGCATATTAGCTTGAAACTTGATATATTCTCTCAGTAACGTGTTTTGCTATCTCTCTTAATACAAAAATATGACATAATGATTGTATAATTTATATTATGAATTAAATTCAATGACTCCTTACGACTCGAAAGCAATTTCAGAATTCAATAGCATCGAAACTATAAACGTGCAAAGAATTTCTAAAACCAAATAAATTATTATTATTATTATATATTTTGTATGAGATTTAAATGTTTTTAACAATCTCTAAATGTGGGCTCTTTAATATCACAAAAAGTAGATTTGGTGACAGAGTCATGGAGAAGAGTCATATATGACGTTAGCACAATTTCATAAATTTTCCTGTTGCTTATTTTAGTTTATTTTCCACGTTTAAAATTTAAAATTGATGACGATTTTATAATTAATTTCACTAATATCAGTATACAGTACGAAGGTTGGCTAAAAAGGGGTAACAACTGCAGATTAAGGGTGATTGAAATGAAAAATAACGGCGTTAAACAGAACTTGATATTAATTTTATTTATAATTTTTACACCATATTAAACTTATTTACTATTTAGAGTCACTTAAACGTGTATTTTATTGAAATTCACCATAAAATATTTTATTAAATTATCTTCTGACGTATTTACTCGTCGTGGAAAAATACATCGACAGCGAGTTTCTAGTAAACCTTTTTACTTTTTAAAGTATTTTCTTAAATAAGTTAGAAATTTAAAATTCTTTTGTTAATGTAAAACTTCTTTCTACCCGATTGTACAGTACAATAGGGGCGTATAAGTTACAAGCTGATCTCGCTTGTTTTACGATTGTGTCTGCAGCAGATGTTCTCGTTCACCTGATACGCATCAGTTAGAAGTGCAAAAGATGAATAAGCCGGGATTTAGCCCGGAGGCACGCGCCTATTTGGCCAAACCTGTGCTAAAGAGGGACGTCTTTTTTGTCGGAGATGATTTCCCGCCAATTTCACGCCGGTACGGTCACGTGACGTAAAGGTCGTTGGGAGGAGAATGGACGACAGCATAATTATGATGGATCGATATTTCGCCGTCGGTGGCGTCAACTAATGAGGCCGTGACGCTATATAAATAAACAATGAATTTTTACCCTCTTTAATTGGCTGAAAAAACAATGCAGATGACTGAAGATAGCCATTAATGATGTCCGACGCGTAAGGGTACATCTAACTTTACTATTTAATAAAGTTAATTTTTTTCTTGTTTTTTTCGATTGGCTCTACTGTCTCAGCTTTAAAAAATGTATAATATAGTCCTATAGTCTATATATTAAAAAAATTATATTATGTTATACATATATATAATATAATATAATTCATAGTTAATAAATAAAATGACAAAATAAAATTTCGTCTCATGAAAGACCATAAAGAATCTTAATTAAATTGTACCATTACTCAATAAACCTTATTTATTTACCGTACTAAAGGAACGTTTAGAAAGAATTTTATAAAATAATTATTATTTTAGGGAAAATCAAGTAGAATTAAATTAAATACTTTCCCAACAGAGTGAGGAATAATTCTTATTTTCATCGACAGATGGCAACTCACTCTCAACTGGCGAGTGGAATCTAGTATGACGCAATCTTTACGCACCGTTTCCTTTGTACCAATGACCTCGAGTGGCGTCGTTATTCGAGGCCTTCGGCTGTCATCGTTTCATTTTTAAACACGAAGTGTAAATAAATTAAGAAGAGATAAAAATCTCCGAAATGAAAATTACAGCCAATCGCTTTTAACATTATCAAACGGACGGTGAGTACGGAGTAAGCCTACTTGTTTTAAACTTCAGATTTAAAAAACAAACGTGACGTAATACATGACGTAACTGAAATTTTAACAAGTAAAGAATTAGGGAAATGATGGCATTTTTTTCTTTTTTGCTTTTGAGAATTACTCGGATTCGTCTTTTCTAGATACGGGTTATAAATGACAGGAAAATCGATTATATCCGGAAGGAAGAGTGGAGCGACGAGCTAATACCCGCACGGAGTCACCCGCAGCGCAGATTATCGGCGGGGTGACACGCCCGAATGATAGCCGGAGATTTAAATAATAGAGTCGATGCCCAACCCACCGAAGATCGACGGGGGACTTCGACCGCTACACTGCCAACTCTACCACGTCACACAATGGTCCCTCCTTCCGCTTTTTCGCACGAAATCTCGCTCCCCTATCAATTTTTACTTTCCACCGTCATTGCCAATATAGTAAATTAAGCTTTCTTCGTTATATTTTCATCGACGGAAGCGAGAAAGGCGTCATTTAAAATTCAAACGAATCTAAAGATAACGACAATAATAAGATATTCGAGTAACAAGTAAGCTTAATGAAAAACTGTGTGAGAGACTTGTTACTTTGGAACGAAGTAGAGATTTATAGCAATGAATTTCGTTACTATCGACATTTTCATGATGTATTTTTGCTAATTAAAATTGTAAATAACTCTAAAATTATTCTAACTCTAGCGTGCTTCGTCCATCTTCAAAAATTAACTGAGTTACTGTTACTTTTTTAGTTCCTTTTGTGATAAATTACATGTTTTCCTGCCATAATTCGACTTCTCCACGTTAAATTTTAACGTTATCATCATAAATAAGCCTTAGAATTTTGAAAAATATCCTTTCAATTCTTCCAAATAGCTGTCTAAACTAAATTGTATTTTGCTTTAATTGGTTGGATCTTTCATTCGTTAACGAATCATGAATAATGTCTGATGATTGTATTAAAAATATTTCTCATTAAGTCTTATGCTAGAATAAAAAATATTTATTCGAATTATACAGTCGAACCTCTGAACAGCGGCCATTGACTGAAACATAAAAAATGATCGTCGTTTGGAGATGACGTTTTATGCGTTTTAAAAAGAAATATTCTTAATAAGATGGCCACCGTTTAGAGATAGCCTTTGTTGGAGGTTCGACTGTATAGACTAATATACAGTTCTTGTAAATTTAAAACGCGAAATAATGATCGTTTTAACTGAGAAAACAGAAGTTAATCTATAATTTTAAATAGTAAGCCAAAGAAAAATAACGATTTCAAGAAGATTTACTCGAGATATTCTTATTACAATTATTTCTATAATTAAATCTGCAAAATTAATTTAAAAAATTACCAAACTGAAATAAAATTGTTCGATTCCATAGAAACAAATTGTAAATTTTTCTGGAAACTGTTAAACTAGAATGATTAGAAAAGGTACTTCTTATAATCAAATTTTTCTTGAAAAAAGTTGATGATAATTTACCTGTCTGTTTGAATAAGAGCTATCTTTTACCTTGAAAAAAAAATTATTACAAAATGTAATAGTTTTTTTAAGTAAATAGGCTACTGTATAAACGACGTCAAATCTGTGCATACATTTGTAAATAAATTCATTAATTACCTCATTTTTAATATCGTTTATGATAATCTATTTAAATATTGACAGTTTACGAATGGTTCGGCATCGTTTTATCATCATTAACATAATTAGTTTAAGTTTTATTAATGATTTCGTTCGTTAGAATCATGGGTATAATTTCAAATTATAATAGAAGTTTCTGATTGGTGAGCTAAATTTTCGTAGTAACAATTAAAAGTTACTAATATTAAAATTGGTTTTCATATAAGGTCGAACCTCCAATAACGGCCAACTGTAAATAGCAACCATTTTTTCCAGGAACTTTTAAAAATAAAAATGCGTACGAAATGACCTCCGAATAATGACTGTTTTTATGATCTCATCAGCAGCCGTTGTTCAGAGGTTTTTCTCTAATTACAAATTCTCGATTCGATTAAAATGTATGACTATATTTGAAGGATTTTTTTTACGTTTCGATAATTCCTAAACAATAATACCTTTCAATTTATGTTAACAGCTGCTTGGAAGCGATAATTTGACATAATTAAACATTACAAACTAAATACATAATTGACTTCTTAGTGTAATACTTTTATTAAAAAAATGTAATTTAAATTATCGTTATGTAATGCATATTAAATATTAGTATGAATTAGTTCTTAATCGCGTTATTGCTAAGTATTTTCATTAAAAATTTATTGTATCTTACTAAATTTATCGCCTTTTAGAGTGTCTAGTTTCGACGAGCATAAATAAAACTTTTAGTAATTTTTCATAAAAGGTCTTGCCTTTTATATAATTAACCAGTTTTCTATTTAATTAATGATGTCGCGGAGCTGTCGACAATCATAATTAAATTAAACAGTTTCGAAAGTCGGATTAATATCGGTGTTAACTTACGTAAATCATATAAGCCTATAATCTATAGTCGTGTGTGTCTGCAGAGGGGCAAAGGAGAACCTTCCCGTCCTGGAATCGAGTAAAATATTCTACAAATTATAATCGTAAAAGTGATTGAGATATGTAACTTTATCGCTCGATCATAGCACATTCTGTCTGTTTAAAAAAAACCCAAAAAATTAAATAATTAGGCCTAAATAAAAATTTCTTGGTGTAATTATTTGTCTCCAAGCTTTTCCCCCTAGAAATCCTAAACTTATATGAAATTCTAACTTTTATTACCAAAATTTAAATTTAAGACATGAGGAAAACCTTAAAATCGTTCATATAAAACTTGTATTTTAATTACGACACAATGAATTTCTTTACACACAATAAGAATATTGAAATTCTTAAAGAATCACCCTTACTCGATATGGCTGGAAGCGTGTATCAGAATCTACAAACAAACTGCGTATCAGGATTGACATTTACCACATGTTCGGGTGGACAACGTTGATGGATGAGACTGGCAAACTCCGTTTCAACAAATTCCAGACTTAGTCAATTGGATTAACGAGTCTCAACAACGTTAATATGTTTTACCAGATCCTACTGCATGCGATCCTAGATCCTGTTATGTACCAGCTACTGCACTTTACCAAACCAGTTCTTTTCTGCCAATTAAACTCGTATCGAATGAGCACTAAAGCCATATAAAGTAATTTATT